AGGGAGCCCGATGCGGGACTCGATCCTGGGACTCCAGGATCATGACCTGAGCCGAAGGCAGTCGCTTAACCAACTGAGCCACCCAGGCGCCCAACAGGAGGAACTTTTATAAAGTTGCACAACACCAGATGAATTATACTTCCCCAAAAGCAATAGCTCTTTAGTCCTAAACAGGAGGAACTTTTATAAAGTTGCACAACACCAGATGAATTATACTTCCCCAAAAGCAATAGCTCTTTATTTAGTGTGAGTTTGTCATGACTACGGAGACCAAAGAGACAAGAAATGACGGTGCCAGCCTATGGATTCTTAGAACTTACACTCATGTCAAAATTGTGGCTTCACTCTCTGAGTTAAATATCAGTTTTCTGACTTTTAAGTAAGGATATAACAGGGGCGCCTGGGAAGCCTGCTTCTCCCTCTCCTACTCCCCCTGCTTGTGTTCCCTCTCTCACTGTGTCTCTCTCTGTCAAACAAATAAATAAAATCTTTTAAAAATAAATAAATAAATAAACAAGGATATAACACAAATCCTTGTGATGATTAATTATAATCAGTACCCCAACTAGAAAACATTAGGTTACCAATGAAAATAACTCACTTCAGTGGCCCTCCTTATTCCCTAGCATGTGGGGATTCTACCCACACCAAAGTAGCTGAATCTTTGGTCCAATTCATTTATTGCAAGTTCTAAGACAACGCAGAAATGTGCATTAATTGGTCACAGATAAGACAAGAGCCTCTGAAAGCATGCTAATGAGAAGGAGCAGAAACACTCATGGATAGAGTTAGTGAGTTTGCCTTGTGCCATGGGATGGTCAAAAGCATGGCCATGGCCTCAGAGAAACAGTTGGAGGAACATCCATAGACTCACTTGTGCTCAGGTATGAAGTGGTTGTGGTCAGAGTCAAGGTATATTACCCCACGATGGGGGCACCTGGGTGGCTCAGTCGTTAAGCGTCTGCCTTCAGCTCAGGTCATGGTCCCAGGGTCCTGGGATTGAGCCCCGCATCGGGCTCCCTGCTTGGCAGAGAGCCTGCTTCTCCCTCTCCCACTCCCCCTGCTTGTGTTCCTGCTCTCGCTGTCTATCAAATAAGTAAATAAAATCTTTAAAAAATATATATTACCCCATGATGGAGAGAAAAAGTCTACATAATACGTCCGGATTTTCCTCTTCTGGTATGATGAGATGCATGAATAAGTAAAAATGTAAGCGGATGGGTGCCTGGGTGGCTCAGTCGGTTAAGCATCTGCCTTCAGCTCAGGTCATGATC